ATGAGAGTCACGCAGTCTCTGAAGATTTGCAGAGTTCGTGGGGCTTCCGTTTCATGCTGTAGAGCCTCTTGTCTCTCACTGCAAGACAGTTATGCGATATCAGTTCTCATTCCATCTGGGGCAGTCTGAGATGTGCAGGGAAATGTGCTGGGGAGTTACACAACTGCTTGACCAAATACTCTGGTTTATAGAATTGGCTCACAGCCTTGTGTAAGAAGTGCTTTAGTACTATCCAGTTACCAGGCTATCACTCCAAGCCACTTTTAATTAAATTTTAAATTAAAACATTTCTGAAATGGACAAAAGTTGTACAAGCCTAATAAAAGATATAGGTGATGACAGTGAGAGGAAAAAATCCGCATGTTACTGAGTTACAGGGTTGAATCTGAAATTGTTGCTGGTGTCTAGCCAACTTCCTTTAGGCTCCTTATCCTCGTGCATATGTTGTACCTCAGGTTTCGTACATCGCAGAGAGCCTCTCCCTGGTGATTGTGAAAGACTAAGCAGAGTTGCTGCTCTGTTAAAATAAGGTTTTCCCTTCTACGTAAGAGGTGCAGTTGAACCTTTGGGTAACCAGATGAATACAGGAGGCAACTACTGGTATGTTTGCAACCTCAAGCTATAATATGAGACATTACTATATTCCTTACTATGTTTAAAACTACTATGTTAAAACATCCAACAGTTGTTTTCTGTTTAGACAGATCTTCCAAGTTTAAAAAGAAAAAGAGAGAGAGAAAGAAAAAAATCATGAGATTGACAAGGCTGTGGTCTGGACTGTTGGAAGCATTTAGCCACGGTGTGATCTAAGAAAAAACAGCAGTTGCATTGTCTTGAACATTCATGAGTGCAGTGACTAACTACAGCTTTTTCCTGTCTTCACTGTAGGTGATCTTTTAGGTTGTATCTCTGTGTTATAGAAAGGAGAAAGTTGAATATGTTCTGTTACAATCTACGAATTTTACTGAGTTGTGCTGTTTTGTTTTGTTCTTTTTCTCCTTGGAATGTAACAGTGGGGATAATGCTGAAAACTATGAATGATAATAGAACAGTTTCAGGAAGGAACTCTTACGAAATATGTGTATGAGAGAATAATCAGTTGTCTTCTGAAGTAACTTAAATCTTGTGAGATAACCTCTTGTCTAAATGCTATAGGTGGAGCTCCACTGTTTAGTTCCTCATACACAGATGGTGTATTAGTTAACAGCATTTTCTTTACTGTTCTGAAAAAGGTAGAGATATTTCAAAAAGTCAGAAGAGTAAGCTAACCTTTTAGGAGGTTTGCAGTTGCAGGACTACTCCTACAGTACTCTTTGAAATGAAGGAGTAGTACAGAACTCTTCTCCATTGTGCTGCAGTTCTTTCCTTCTGTGTAAACGCACCTGATGTGCTTTTGCAAATGATAGGAAAATGTTTTGTATGTGATTTTTAGACAGCGTAGTGTTGTCAGAGATGTACTTCTTTGGGGAGTGATGAAACAAGAATGTAATTGAAAGAATTGGAAATAATTAGAGAAACAGGGGAAAAACTAAGACCTTTCACAATTTCTAGTAGTGAAATGGTGGGTCTAGTGCAAACTGATTTCTGTTGTGTGAATCTGAAAAAACAGGCATAGTGAAATTTTGCAAATCTGTGATTCTGCCAATGTACTTGCCAATACCTTCACTGTCTATGTTCCAGATCACCTGTTTAATTTTTTATGTGCCTGCGTCTGCGTTTGTTTAAAATTATTTTATGCAAATTTTATGAAAAAAAGAAGCCATGTTAAACATCGGGATGCAGCTTATGGTTTGGGGTTTTTTTTTTGTGGCTTGTTTTTTTGTTGATTTGTTTTTAGTATTCTAGAGGGCTTATTTGGCCAAGCCTTGGCTAAATTATGAAATAATGATATGGTTCTTATTGTTCTCCTACTTCAGTCGTCCATGCTGAGCCAAGCAAAGTTCCAATCAGTAAATACCCTTCCTGAATAGAATCTGTGTAGTAACGTAGACAGCTTTTTACAATGCCTCTAATTTCAGTAAATCTGTATGTTTAAAATGTTGCCCTACAACACTTCTGCAAAGTATTTTATTATGATGTAAATATGACTTTTTAAATCTGATAGGAACTAACTCATTAGGTACAATTGGACGTAGATTCTTGTTCATTTGGACCTTGTTTTCTGCATCCTTTCCTTTCCCTCCTTCCCACCTCCAATTGGTTTGAATGTGTCAGATATCCTCAGCTCTTCTTTGTCAGCCAGCTGAGCCACAGTTCTTGTTGTGAACATCACTCTTGGCCAATGATACAACAGCACAATCTTTTTTTCTCTCCTCCATTTTGTTCTCCAACTTTTTTTTTTGCTAGCAAATTTGTTAAATCTAAGTGTAGGTATATCAAGCTTTCTTGTTCTACCCACACTGCCCTATCACCCCAAATCCTGGTTTTTTCCTCTGTTTTAGGGCTTTTGACACTTTACCACAATCATCAGTGACAAACTTGTAATTTGGTATGGACTAGGTAAGTGGGTAGCAAGATGGACCGAAAACTGGCAGAACTGCTGGGCTCAAAGGGTTGTAACGAGCGGTGTGCAGTCCAGCTGGACACTGCTGGCCAGCGGTGTGCCTCAGGGCTCAATACTGAGTCTGATATTGTTTCATATCTTCATTAATAACCTGGGCAGTGAAACATAGTGTGCCCTCAGCACATGGAAAATAGCATCTGCAAGTACTATCATATGAGCTGCAAGTGTGGAGAATGAAGTCCCTATGGCAAAGCATTCTTTAAAAGGCTTTTTCTTCCTCCTATCCTTTTCCCGGGAGGAGGGGTGGAGCGCAGCTAGTCTCATTTAAGAACTTAGCTTGCTTAAGTTCTTTTGTCAGATGTAGTATCTCCAGAACACATCTTCATACACCGACTTTTGTGCACTACGTTTTTTTTTTTTTAATTACATGGACAAGACTCTAGGTAAATCACTCATCTTTTCGGTAGAAAGGTTAAGGAATGTGGTTGTTTTAAGAAAAGACTGTCAGCCTCGACACGGGTTTAAAGCCTGTCATGGGTGTATACCGAGGAGATGTATCTGTAGCCGTATCCTCTGCTACAGAAAAGCACCTGTAATAGCTTGTGTAGCCAGTGCCCCTTTCTTGAGATCTGCCCAAAGTTCTCTGCATTCCTTCACCAAGCCAAGGATGAAGTAGCACTTGGAAGAGTAGCTTGAATTTGCCAACTTCATAAAGCTCCTGATAGTCGTTTTCATGCAGCCTGTGAGTGTAGGGAGGTAATGTACCTAGTGAGCCATGTTTTAAAAGTGCGCAAACACTCCGGAGTAGATAGTTACCAGTAGTGTGAAGTTCTTCCAAACTAATACACGTGGCTAATGCATTGTTTGGTTTTCTGCCCCGGTATCTTAGTCCATGGGTTGTGTGTTGTGCTCTACCTGGATGTGCTGTGCTGCCGTGTTACCAAAGGATCGCAAGAAGAGTGTGGAGTATGAACATGACCTATGGGTATTGTTATGCTAAAGTATTTTCAGGAAGTTTTGATCATTTAGTTATAGACGTATAACAAGTTGAATGTGCATACACACCACGCACATTGAAGAACTCATAAGTGACTCTTCTAAGGTAGATGTGTCTACTGTGTGTTTTCTTCTAACAAAACTAGTGGTTAGTTGTAGATGTCAGCAGGTATTTTACTGCCGTAATGCTACAGTCCTAATTGTTAGAGCACTGTGCCCAGGCTGTAGAGCCAGTAGATGCATTTAGTATTTCTTACCTAAAACTTAGTTGTTTTCTAGAGTACAGTAGATAAACCAGTGCAAGATAAAGCTTGAATACTGTTTGAAAATTTTGGGGTTTTCGTATGACCTACAAAAAGTTCTTCCTCCTTGAAATGCATGGAAATTTAGTATTTTCCTTAGCTGAAAATTGCTGTGCTTTTGATGTTGCAGTATTTAGACACTTCACACAGGTTAATAGTAGTTGGTGTATCAGAGCTGATTTCAGTCATGAGGCCAGAGTAGTGTAAAATTAATTATCTGTTCTTCACTATGATTAATCTGAACTAAAAGAGGATGGAATCTGAACATGTCAAAATAACATTTGTTGCTTTATTAAAGGATTACAATATTGCAGGGGTAATCTAATATATTAAAAACCCTACTTTCAGTTATATACAACACATGCTACATGACACGTCAGTTTAATGCACATTACACTGTAGTAAAGACGTGATGAGGTAATAAGGGAAAAAGTGTGCAAGAACACGCACACAGATGCACAGTAATACCTTACAGGCTTACTGAAAAATATATTGAACTTCTAGAGGCTTTCACTCTCCCTCTTATAATTGCATTCTTTATTTTCTTTATTTATTATATTATTGCATTCTTTTTTTTTTCGTATTAGTTGCTGTTTTGAAATGGGTGTTATAACAATCTGTTCTAGAAACCTACCTCAGAAGAGTATTAGAATTATCCCAGTCTATTTTATAGTTGTGACTGACCTCTAAATATAGATAAGTAAATCTATTTAATAATTTGACAGTAATATGTTATAATTGTGAAATATGGTACATATAACTTCTCTTGGCTACAGGTAACTTCTTTATATAATTTTCATCTACTGGCTAATGACATTAAATAGCTTATGTATTGGTATCCATCATTTGCCTGCAAAGTCGGATAGTCCCTTTAGTTTATATCCAGCCGTTTCTGATTACAGGGGCTATGCAGCAGGTAATGAGTGAAGTCAGGTACAACATACTGTGACAGTTGTGTAGTATAACGTGTTGGCTATACAGCACATTTTATCTGTTGTAGATCTGGATCATTTTCCATATGCAGGTAGTTACTTCATTTTGGTAAGAAAAATCAGTAGTGTTTTTAATCTAAAATATTTGAATGGAATGTGAATTCTAATTTATATGAGCAGGTTATTTAAATGCTCAAAGTGAAGGGGAAAGACTGGATTTATCACAACAATAATTGTTTGAGTATCTGCTCTCAAAATCAAATTATATAGTACTAACTTTGTTCATGTTAGTTAACAAAGATTAAATTAGAATACTCACACTAATGTACATATACCAGCTACACAGTTCAAAGGATATGATTTCCTGTGTCAGATGATTGCTTGTAACAACAATAATAATAATAAAACTCTTGCTGTACAGTTTGTAATATTTCCTGTATTTGAGAATATTTATACATAATATAACATACAAAAATATTTAAATGTTGTGGCAGTATTTTTACCATCCAGACTTAATTTACAGGGAATAAAACCCAGAAAGTTTATCTACAGTCCATCTAAACTGCCAGTTCTAAAAGGCTTAATATAATTACTTTTAGTACCAAGAGGTGTTCTGAATGTTATGCCGTTTCAGTTCCTTTTTCTTTTTTTTCTGCTTTTTTTTTCCTAGAGTGATTCTTGAAAATACAATATACAAGCCCTCACATCTCAGCAATAAATGTACAATATCTTACATTCCTCACTTTTGTAAAGATAATTCCAGATAATAACATCATACCCTTATGTGATTTTTGGAACAAGAAAGCAAACCAAGGGAATTATTTCAGTGGAATGTGTTGGGATTAGGTCTTATCATCATAACAACTTTCTTTAGTGAATAAGATCCTCCCCGGAATTCAGCCCAGTAAACACCATCCTGATACCGACTGCGGTAGTGTCCTCCACGATACCAAACTCCATTGAGATTTGAATGAGCACATGCATTGTACCACCATCCTCCCTTCTGGTAATGAGCACAATTGCCTGCAAAAGAAAGCTCCGGTTCAGTCTTAGGAGCAAATGAAAAGCCTTATAGCAAGCAAGCTAAGCACAAAACAATTTATTTTAACTGTGTGTTTAACATGTAGATGCCATGTGGTACAAGGTGAATTTAGGTTTCTTCGGGAACCAGCTCTGTAGTTAGGTTCTACAGATAGACTCATTAATGTTACCCTCCCTTGGTGGAAAATTTGTTTGTATTACTGTCTCAAATAACCCCCTATAGCATATTTTACAGACCCTCATTTCATGTAAATGACAAATATTTCAACAAGAATTTTTGTTTCGGTGTTAGTACATAAAAGCATTGATACATCAGTTTGTGCTTCATAAGTTACTAATTGACAAATCTCTAAAAATGTCATTTCTTTTTTGTGTGTGTGTATCACCACAAATATTTTTCCTTTTTAAAAAAGAAGGAAAAAAAAAAAAAAAGGCTGGGGGGGAGCAAGGCAACTGAAAGGGACCCTGTACCTGTGTATACGTCATGATCCCGGTCCAGCGTGGTGAACTGTTTACCGTTGTGCCAAGTGAAAGAATCTCCTGCATTGCCATTGTAGCGTCCCAATCTCAACTTGTAGTATTCGCTTTCTGGCTCCAGTCTGAAGCTAGCATATTCAGCAAATACTTTTCGACCTGACCAGTCTTCCATTGTTATCAGCAGTTTGTAGTTGCCTTGATTTGTTAACCAATAAATATTTTCTAATCCAAGCCAATATTCTCCATCTATATTACCAAATCCTTGCTGTAAAGGAAGCAGGAGAAGCATGTTAATATTGTGCGTCTGTTTGAGTGGTAAATCTGAGTGTATTCTTAAGTAGAAAACCACAGTAACTTATTTTATAGAGACTTCCCCTTCTGGAAGGGTAAACACACAGGTTCCTTTTCAAGTAAGCTGTTGGCCAGACTCTAAAATCACCCTTCGATTTAACTTTATCAATAATTTTTAGAGGGTAGAAAACATTAAACTGCTCACTTGTCCTAACCTTGTATGTCTCCCAGTTCCTGAAAAAGTTGACAGACCCATCCAGCCGTCTCTGGATGACTGTCCAGCCACCAGGGTCATGCCGTTGATCACACCAGACCTGCATAAGCCGGTTCGTGTTTTCTGGTTTTACAAGGTAGATGGAGCTTGTATCATGGCCATCTTCTAATGCTTGTAGACAGTCTCTCCAGGGCCCTGTATCAAAACAGAAGGACTCTGCATCAAAATGCAATTGAGGAGATCTTTAATGCAAGGCGGTATTTGAATTGGTAGCTTTTTACAGTAGATTTGCTTCTGCTGACTAGTGCTTTTGTTTTTCCCCTTACTGAAGGTACAGTGTCCACAAAGAGTTTTCAAACAGATTCATTTGTAAGTTAATTTCTGTAACATTTCACAATGAATTACTGATAAAGGTAGATTATTTTTTTTTATTTTATTTAAGGCAACTGCACTTACGACATTGATTATATCTTCAAAGAAACTAAATATGAATGACTCCATAGACAAGTATTAATATTAAATTTCATTTAGAAAACAAAATGGTAAGTTTGACTTTGTTTCTGTCTTGGAGAAAATCGGCTTTTTACATCTCCAAAAATGCCATTGGCTCAGGCATTAACAATGGACCCAGCAACATAAGTTAAGAATGTAGGTGTTACTGTTGTCACCTTAATAAATGATAACACAAAATAGAAAGTAAGTTTTGTAACGTGGAGTAGCCACTTATATGGTGAGAGAAATTGTAGATAAATGAGAAGAGCTTTAAAATACTTAGCATTTACAGAAATTACAGATAATGCTCTCCTGTTTTCAGAAAGAGAATGCATTTTTCCTTGAGTTTAGTAGAGTCCATAAAGAGCTTACTCTTTTTGAAAGTATCTTACATTTCTGATTATTAAAGAAATTTTCTCCAATAGGAAGGAAGATAGATTGAATTTTGATGAATCTGAGAAATTTAGATCTAAACGATTTAGGAGTCTGTGTTGATATCTGCTGATAGACTTCCCCAGCTGCTTTGCTGCTGTTCTCATGTCGTCTAAACAGAAGAGCGATGTCAACAAGAATCCTCAGGATTAGAGACCCTTGACTGACTTACACAGAGAAGGAGGAAGGCATGTCAGATCATCTTGTGAGGAGTCTTACTGAAGCATATGACGCTATCGAGTAATTTATCTTATAAATCATTTCATTTCATCTACACTTTTTCATAATTCACTGTCCAATGCTGGTAATGGTAGAGCTACCCTTGTACTCAGTAAATGAGTTAGTGATAAATTAGTTTATAGAAGCAACCTCAGTGTCTTGGGGGGTTGGCGTTATTTTGCTCTTTTTAACTAGTTAATCAAAAAGTCACTGTACCAGGAGGCAAGCCAAGATTTTGGTCTGTGGCCATGTTGTGGTGTTCTTGTTTCCTTAGTCATATTCACAGACTGTAGCTAGAGTGCTGCTTCTAAGCCCCTTCTCCATTTTTGTTGTGGCTAACCGTTCAGATTTCTGGCAATTTAGATGTAGAGAGGTGGAAATGTAATGAATGCTGGTAATTCAAATTGCTCTTGTTTATTTTGTCACAATGTGTACATAGTGGCACTTAAAACAAAAAAGAACATGTCAGTTCAAAGTCATCATTATTGAAGAAACTACTAAGATAGTCAACCACAGGTCTTTGATCTTGTCTTCATAAAAATGAATATATAGCAGTATATAATGTAGTATTTACAGCTTTCTAATCTTGCAGCTTCTTTCTAGGCAACCTGGCAACAGTGCTCTACAGCATGACTCTTTTCTCTGAAAGTGCTTTAAGATGAAAATAAACTATTACAAATACTTCAAAGCAGAGTTTGCTACTACTTGTCCGTGGCAGGTGGTTTTTTGTCAGATAGTCAAAATTTTGGAAAGTTACTAAGGTGTATAGTCTAAGCTTTGTCATCTGGCATCAGAAATCAAAGGCAAGACAACTGGCCCCCACACAGATCTCTGTAAGACACTGTGATTAACTCTGCCTAATGAAAAAAATACTTAAATATTAAAGGATTTTTGTGTTTTATTTATGTCAGGCTCTTTCTTTGTACTTTGCAGCAGCTTAATTTAAACAACTTTACTAAAAAACCTGGTTCAGTGCTTTCTGGAAATAAATATGGACTGTGTGTCAACCAGGATTCCATCTGCATGGGCACTGAGCCCTTCAGATATCTCTAAAAGTGATACAAAATTGGCATTACAAAAATCAAGTTGATTCTTACTCAAGGAGATTGGATAATGATACATGATTCAGATTTGTTTGCTGCTTGTTCTGCTGTTGTTAGCATGTTTTCTACCAGTTAATGGAATTTGGGGTTTGAAGGTTTTTTTTTTCTTGTTGCATTTGCCACCTTTCATTCCTTGCATACTAAGGCAATTTTTGTTGAGAGATTACACAGTACTTAATTGTTTTATATTCAGTTTCCTTTAGAACTCTTGGGGGATGTGCTTTACTCTTTGTAGTTTGATAGTATTCACTTCTTTCATTGGCTTTATAACCTCTTCTACCAACATTTCAGTTTGAGATAAATCCTGCAGAGTATCCTCCTTGCCACTACCCTAGTCAACACAGGAACCTCCAACTGTCCCCTCATTGAATAGTCATGTCAAAATTAATTTAGATTTTTCTACTGTTGCCTTGATTTCTGAGTATATCTCTTCACCTTTTCACATAACTTTTAGTCAGGCTTCCTGTTCCTGATGTGTTAGAAATCAGATTTATTATGTCTTTTTTTCCTTTTGCAAGTCATTCTTACGATTTTAATGTGTCTTTATATTTAACCTGACAGAGTATGTTCTTTTCTCATTTCCTCATTTGGACATGACTTTAGGTGCTTTGAATGATGTTGTCTTTCTTAACAATACTGCTTTTACCAAGTTGCTTAACCATGACAAAATTTCCTGGTCCTCTCAAGGTCTTTTGTTTTTTGTTTTTTGTTTTTGTATGGATGGTCGGATAGTTCTGAATTTCCAATATGGTATATTCAAGTAGTCTCTGGTGCTTGAAAACATTTTACCTTTCCAGTTATCACTTTTAGTTTGTGCATTGGTATTATAATATTCTGCTGTTTTGTGTCCTTTGTGTTTCCCAAGTTTCTGATAGGCTATTATATCAAATCTTGCTAAAACCCCAACTTTCTAGTTCTTGTATTCTTCTTTTGGTGTTTTTGTTGTTGTTGTTGTTGATGTTTTGTTTGGTTGGTTGTTTGGGGGTTTTTTTGTATAAGTGGTAATAGTTGTTTAGAATCATATATATGTTTGGCTTGCCCCTGCATATATATCTACTGGTCTAATATTTCTGTGCGCTGTTTAAACAACGTGTTTTTCAGATTACGTTTCAGCATTTCTTACTTGAATTTTGTCCACTGCTCCTATCAAAAGATTTTACTTGCTGGTACAAAATCTGCATTGCTGCACCTAAAGGGTATATCAGTTTAAACCATCTGCCTCATTAAGCCACAATTATGAGTATGAATATATTGTCTGTCTTATGTTATTATGTATTTTTATTTTTGTATACTAGTAATGCCTTTTTTGAAAAAGTGTGTGACCATATAAAATTAGCATACACTGTATGTTAATATTGCATTAACCTTAGCATTGCTGTTTGCTGTTTATTATTTAACTATTTAACTTTATTTTTGTGTAATGAGCATGGGATTAAAATATTAACTTGCAAGTTTTATGTGGTAGAGTATAATAAATTGGTTTGTGTGCATGTTTTTATAGGAATAGTATCTTCTATAGCAATTGCACAAGAAAACATACATTTCATAATTGGTATAACTAGCTACTAAATGCTTTGTTCCCAGAAAAAGATTTGTTGATTTGTTGGGTAAGGACAATGAATCAAATTCATTCAGTTTTCTAGTTCAGCTTTCACTTGTCTTCAGTACTGTCGTCTTCCAATGTTGCACTAGGAAATTTATACATAGGAGACTATTTTGATAAGCTGCTCACTCTGTTTCATACAGAAAATGTAGCAGTGCTTCACATAATAGTGTTTGTCCTGTTACATGTAGAATTCTATGCTCTAATAAATTGCTGTTTCAGACCTATTTGAATTATTAACCCTGTGGGCTAAACTTTTTGATGTTATAAACTAAAACCCATTGTAGACAAACCACATCTGCTTTTTGCATTGGCATATTAAAGCTTGTATTTGTTGAGCATTAACACGTGCAAAGTTGGAGTTTGGTGTATCATAGCGCTACATCCCTACTCAGTTGTACACTAAGTACACACATCACACTACACAGTAAATCTATAGTAGCACGTAGGGAAAGACAATTCAAACATGACAGAGAAATACTTCTAAATAACTGTCTTGTTTTAGATCACAGTCATAATAATGTTTTGTTCTCAAGTCCCTTCCTCTGAGTGTAGGCATAGGGGTCTAGTGTCTTAGTACTGAATAATGTCATTACAGGAAGGCTCACTGCTCTGAAGATTTTAAATCATAAGTAACTTGTGAAGTAGGTTGTTTCAAAAATACTTATGTAGAAAAAAGATGAGCACTTTATTTTATGACGAGTGATGTGTATAGAACTCTCTGTAAGTTGGTTAAATTAATTCCTGTGGCAGTTCTTATGCTCTCCAATTCAGATTCCTGGATTTTGACTGAGGTAAATGCGACTGTGCCAGTCATATTATTGATTGGCCAGCAATAACAGATATTGCCCCCTTCCCCCCTCCCCCCAAAAAATTGGGCAGCAATTGTGTAAACTTCCCCTGTACCATATATGCTGCTCTTAGGAGAAAAGGAAAGTTCTTTTACTAGGGCCATTCTGGTAATTAGTGTTTTTATAATAAATGTAAATCTTCCTTCTGAAGTATTAGCATGCTTTACAAGCGAAGGTCATCTTATATTTCCTTGAAAAAGTGAGAGCATCCTGACTTTCAGGTAGGTAGTTTTGATAAAAATCACCTCTAGGGAGTGAAGCAGACCTTTGAGGAGCAGTACCATTATAATCTGAACAGTGCCTGTTCACTGGCACAAACACATTCAACTATAAAACTACTCTTGTAGGACTGGATGTCTAGGATGGAGACACAGCTGTATAGTGGAAGAGACCACACATTTATGTTACATAAAGACCAGAATAGGTTTTGATAACTGATTGTGTGAGATGTGTTGTATTGCTTTGGGCTTGCACGCATCTGTGCCAAGTTGAAGAACGTGAACTAAGTTTTTAAAATTGTAATTTTGCTAACCCAAACCACGTGATTACTCTTCCCAACCCTGTCTTTTTGTCTTGCATCTCCTGAATTTCTGTCTTCCACTTTCATTAATTCTGTTTGGATTCTTACAGAATTTCTCTAATCATTTATTTCTTGACCTTAACTTGAACAATGAAGTTGTACTAAAAAAATATTTTGTCTTTTTTTTAATATGTAATTAAAAAAGAAAGGCGGGAGGGAGCAGGCTAGGATTATCAGAGAGTGGTTTGGGTGGGAAGGGACCTTTAAAGGCTGTATAGCCCACCCCCCCTGCCATGAGCAGGGACATCTTCTAGAGCAGGTTGCTGAGAGCCCCGTCCAACCTGACCTGGAATGTTTCCAGGGATGGGGCATGTCCCACCTCTCTGGGCAACCTGGGCCAGTGTCTCACCAACTTCAGCATAAAACATTTCTTCCTTATACCTAGTCTGAATCTCCCCTCTTTTAGTTCAAAACCATTGACCCTTGTCTTATCACTACAGGCCCTATTAAAAACTCCCTCTCCAGCTCTCCTGGAACCCCTTTAGGCACTGGAAGGGGCTCTGAGGTCTCCCCAGAGCCTTCTCTTCTCCAGGCTGAACCCCCCCAACTCTCCCAGCCTGTCCTCCCAGCAGAGGGGCTCCAGCCCTCCCAGCATCTCCGGGGCCTCCTCTGGCCCCGCTCCACCAGGTCCATGTAATTGCTCTTATAAATTAGAGATTCATCTAATTCTGCTTTGCACTGATATTTTCACACTGCATGATGTTTTGCAGAAAAGAGGTGTCATATTTCAAGCTCTTATGTATGTCTTCTATGGATTTGATGAGACTCAGTAATCATACATAGTGCTTCATGGGGAACTGGAAGCTTGGATCCACATAGCTTTTAATTAATTTAAAATCATTGATACAAATGAAAGGGAAATAACAGATTTGTTTTAAAATAGTGAAGTAACCTAAGTCTCGCTTTCTATGCAGTTTATGTGCATAATTAACGTAAATGTTGTTTGGCTTTTGACACTTGTTGCCTGCCTCTTCCAGGGACTTACCAACTTCCAACTATCTCTCTGTTGGGAGAAGAATACAGCAGATAAAAAATACATAGCAAGCTTTTGGAATTTGGTAGGGGTAGGTTTCTCTTAGATACTTAAAATATGGAAAGCAAAAAAACGCAGGATATATTACATCTGAACCTAGTATGTAGGGAAGAACTGATTGAAAATGTGAAATGGAAAGCAGTGTAGGTGATCTTGATCATGAAATAATGGAGACCGCAGTTCTTAGGAAAGGGAAAAGCAAACTAAAGAAAATTAATGTAAATGTAACAGTCTTCAGCAAATTCAGAGAGCATGCAGAGAAAATGCTTTAGACAGTCCAAGCAAAGAGTTTACAAGTTTGTTAAAGAGTCTCTGAGGACATTGCAGTGGATTTTGACATTGTAGAACTTGGCTGGGGAAAATGGGAAGAAACTGACCTGGCTAAAACGTGACCTTTCCAGTAGCTTTGAAAACATGAAGAAAAGCTCAGACAAAGTAAATGGTAGCTCAAAGTATTAGGCATGCTGGTTGTTTTGGGGGTTTGTTTTTAACAAAACAACAGCAACAAAAACAAACAAAAAAACTGCCCCAAAACAGTGTGGACAAAATGTACAAAATGACATAAGGCTACTGAGAGTAGTAAGACTGCAGTAAGTCTATGATCAAGGGGGAACACTGGTCTCCTGTGTTGTGAGGAAGGAGAGCTGTCAGCAGATTAAACTGAGAAGGCATTTAATATTTTGCTTCCATTTTGCTTCAGTTTTCATTGCACAGGTTGGCTATGATCAGATGGTTAGTACACCCAGGAGCTTTGGCAAAGGTTGAGAACTCAAGACACAGTACAGAAAGGAGTGGATAAAATACAGGTAGATTTTTTTTTTTTTTTCCCAGTGGCTGTGCAGTTGTGGTGGGTTTTGTTTGTTTTGTGGGGTGTTGGTTGCGGGGCGGAGGATGTGTTTTTATGGGCTTTCCCTAATTCATTCCAGACACCTGGCTGAAGCATCACTTATGGCATTAATTGTGGGGAGGGATTTTGTTTGAGATGTGCTTTGTCAGTGGATAATGTTCTGGAGGATGAGTAAAAGGTATTAAATGTTCCTTGCCCAAAAATAAAGGTGGGGAGAGGGGAAGAAGATCCCCTGAAAATGAAAAGTTAAATAGCTTAACTTCAGTTGTCGGAAATTTGCTTGAACAAATAAAACCGCTGCAGACGAGAAAACAAGAACAGAAATGAATATTATAATGGATTTTTGCAGAAGAAATGTGAAACTTTTTTTTTTTCTGATAAGTTATGTAGATAAGGGAGAAGTAGCAGATGTCAAATCTTATCTTAGAATCGTGGACTTTGAAAGGGACCTCTGGAGAACAACATAGAAAATAGCTGGAGAAGCAGCACTTCCTCAGGGTGCTTCATCTAGGGGTTCTACAGGGTTGCAAGTTGGTCATGAGTCAACGTTCTACTTTGCAAAAAAAGGAAAATGCTATATGAGGATAGATCAACAAAAGTACTATGCACATGAATTAACTTTTCTGTTCAGCTGTGGTGAAGGCTCAGCTCCAGTTTGGTTACTTAAAAGCATAAGGAGGATGTGGACTAATTAATGAGTGTTCAGAAGAGTATAACAGGGAAGGGAAAGGTTTTGAAAGAATGCTTGAAAGATATTTCACTTACAGAAAGATAGGGAAATACTGTACTAAGCTTGAACCTAATTTGAGATCAAAGTCAAAAGGTAGTTACTAAAGAGGTCATCCTGTAGTGTATTGCTCCAGTGAAATTGTAATAGACCTGATTTTCTCCTGATTTTTTTTTTTTTTTTAACATAGAACATTAGAATCATTATAGTTTTGGTTGAGGTTCTGCGTGCACAGTACACGCTTTGGTGAGTTCATCTCTGGCAATATTGTGAAATAACTACTTTGTAAGCAAAGTGTGTTAGAAATTGTGCTTTAGACTGAAACACCTGCTCAAGTTTCTTTCATTGTGGCTATTTCCATGGAGAAAAAAGTCTCCCCCCCCCCCCGCTTTTTGAAATGTTGCATTATCTGATAATTCTAAACAGTCTGACGATGTCATTTGGAATATGTTGCAGATAGCCTTGAAAAGTATTCCAAGTGCAGTGCCTTAGTCTGTCTCAAGTCTTAGTTTCAGATGTCTGTGGGTCCCCTATCATTTTACTGAGGCAAGTACGTGGTGCCCACACACTGAACAGGCTTCTCTTGTATGGGACACATAATGTTTGAACTATGTTTTTAAAATACATGAGACCATAGGTGATACTGGATTCTTTACCTGTTATTTCTTTATCATGTAGAACAATTGATCTCTAATGTGATTTCAGATGCCTCTAATCTTGCTTATGGCAGAATTCTTAGGACTCCTAATGAGGGCTGTATAATATCCCTTACTATTCCACCACTTGCTTCCCTTTCCTCCTGTCTTGGAGTGTAAGTGCCCTGCGTGAGGTACAGAGCAGATACATATTACTTTGAGTTACACAAGCACAAAAATTACCACATGCTTGATCAACAAACTTGTAATAATTCTTTAAATGTTTACACAAATTGTCAAACCCCTTCAGATGCCATGAGGTATAGCAGTTCTGTCTAGGGCACGAGTGACTGTTGATTAGTATGAGATAAAGGCACTGTAGAAAAATCTTACATCTTATATAAATGGTGGGTTTGTCTTGGCAAAGTAACACAAGAAAAATCCGTGGGGCTAGTGTGTCTGAATCTTAGACATTCAGAATTCATTTCTTTGCTTTCTTTCTGTGCTTGTACTACAACATGTATATTAAAAATGCACAAGAGATACACAGACAACATCAGATCTAAGAAATCTCAATTAGTTCAAAATAATTGTTTTGCATTTATTTTTCTAAATAAATAAATTCTGTCTGCATTTCTGATACGACAATTAAAATGTTGCCCACTGCATATTAGCATAAACTAATGTAGACACATCAATAATATTACTTACCAGATGGTTTATCTGTTGAAGTCGGAATACTAGTAACTGCAGGCATGGTTGGTAAGGTAGGTGGCAGAACCTTTAAGTTCTGATCACTCTGAATCTCGTTAGTAGATATTTGGTTAATAATGCGATTGTAAGTAGGAGGCTGGTACACTTTATTTGGTGGTTGTGGAGTTTGTGGCAGTGGCTTTATGGATGGCATTCTTTGACAGTGTTCTTCCAGTTGGGCAATTATTAACGACTGATTGTTGGCAATTGACATCAAATGTTGGTACTTGTGCTCTAAGTCTTTGTATTTGTTTGCAAGTTGCAACATATCTGCAGTTTGGTTCAAAATCTTATTCTCAAGTTGAGAAAGTTCTAAGGCGTTGTCACGTTTTCGGATAATTTCATGTAGTAACTGCATATAGAGTTGTGTGACACGAGAATTCATATTTCTGCTCTCTTTTCTTAACAGTTTAACCTCATTAACAATTCCACCGTCCACCTCTACCAGTTGCTGGAGAGTTTCTATTTGTCTCTTTTGTTTAAGAAGTTCATTGTTAAGTAACTGTAATTCTTGTTTATTTACCCTGTTTTCAAGTAGAACTTCAGGCTCCTTAGAATTAACACAAATGGCACCTGTCACTCTCTGCTGAGGTACAATAAAGGTGTAAGTGCATTTGTCCTGTGTGTCACTGGAACGCTTATATCTGTTCATATAAATGAATTCTTGTTCTGTTTCCTCATCATTGCCATCAAGTTCCTGTGTTCTGCTCGCAGTAGCTCCCACAGCAGCTATTAGCATTAAACAGATGAATCTTGTTGTCATCATGATCCTCTAGTTCTGGTCAAATATTCTTCTGCAAAGAACTTTTTAAAATCTGTTTTAAAATAAATTTAACAGTAAGTATCAGATAGGAAATCAATGCAAACTTACAACTCATAATCTGTTCCAAAACTTACAAATATTACATAGTAACTAGTATGTGTGTGTACAAATGAGAGATTTTTCTAGTCCAACATGAATTTATGTTCACTAAAGGGGACATCATTGGGAGTAGTTGTATCATTCTGTGGCCAGAACTGTAGTTACTAGTTGCTAGTTTATCTAAAGCCTGCTAAGAACTGCAAGAAACTAAGTAATAAATACCATCATTTAAAGAGTCCTTTCTTCCAGGCAAGTACCAGAAAAGTTTCTGAGATTGGTGTTTTCATTTAAATATGAATTACATTTTCATTTCTTACAGTTACAAATATAACCTCTAAATGTAAACAGAATGTAAGATAACATGTACTGTTAAAAGTTGTAAAAGTATCAAATAGCTCATTTGCAGTATTTTATAACTGCATGTATATTGCAGGAGATATAGCTTGGATGAAATGTAACAATTTTACTTTAGTCAGGAGTATTAAACCTTATAGTTTGGATTTTTTTAAAACGGAAGAACTTAGCTCTACATTCGTCCTTAATAATCAGAAATTAAAAACTCTACTGCCCAAATATCATAGACAGTAAAATCTATTGGTTTTCCAGACCAGTAGAATTTACAACTGAAACATTTATTGTGACTCTCACTGGAAACATTGTCTTTACACTCAGCCGGGTCATTTCCCTTCATAGTCTCTTCTCAGAAGGGGAAAACCACATGCGTACGTGCACAAAGATGACCCCCGGCTATTAAAATTATCTACCAGTGTTTATTGACATACTGCAATTACCCTTTTGGTGAAGTTACACTAACTTAGTTCTCAGAGCAGATTCATATTCAAGGGGGAAATTTGAGGCCATCACAATCTCTTAAAAAAAATAAGACAATACCAGAACTTTATAGGTGATAGTCATTT